AGGTTAATTTTAAGCTTATTTGGAGAAATTGGTTAGAGAAATTATTTAAATTCTACAAGTCTGAAACTATTTTCTGTTATTTTTTATGGTTTTCATTTTCATTTTGTTATTTTATGTAAACATTTATAAAACTTTTTGGAAATATTTAGAACTGGGTAAAATGTGATTAATACTTGACATTATAGAGACTACCATGTACACTGGAGTATAAGCCAATCCGAATATCAGCCGAGGTACCTAATTTTACCAGAAAAAAAGTGTGATGAAAAACTGGACTTATACTTGAGTATATAATGTATATTAAATTATGCTTACATATGTGGTGGTACCAAAAGCCTTGGAATTGCACTGGGCGGAGAGGAGCTTTCATAGTACCCATTTTTTCCACTAGGCAAGCACTGAACAACTGGCTCTGAGTTAGTGCAACCAGAGGCGTTGCCTGGGAAATTTCTCTCTAGACACACTGAATATTTTCGTAAAAACAGTTTTACTCAAACCCTGTGTTTTGTAATGGCTAATTTAAGAGAACAGTATGAGGCTGTTAAATTTTGTTTCCCACTCGGGAAAAATGCTGCAGAAACTGTTGTGAAGTTGAACACAGCTTACTAGGACAGCGCTATGGGGAAAAAAATCAAGAGTATGAGTGATTTTCTTGTTTTAAAAATGGTGAAATGTTGATTGACGGCAAACCTTGTATTGGATATCCACCAAATTCCTGAACGGACAAAAAAGTCAACTTGGAGTTCTTTCCACCAGGTCAGACTGTTAATCAAGTTTTCTATTTAGAGGTTCTGAAAATATTGCATATCAGTGTGTGAAAGAAAAGACCTGATTTATGGCAGATGGGAAACTGGTTTTGCCACCATGACAATTCACCTGCTTAAACAGTTACCTCAGTGCACCAGCTCTTGGCAAAAAACAGCATGCCTATCTTGCCCCATGCACCTTACTCACCTGAATCTGCTCCAGGCGACTTTTTTGTTTCTGTGAATGAAGAGGGACATGAAAGGAGAAAAATTTGAAGACATAGAAGAAGTGAAGAAAAAAAACGAAGGAGGTGCTGTCAACCATCCAAACAGATGAGTTTTAAAAGTGTTTCTAAGAATGAAATAACAGATTCGACAAATGTATTAAGTGTAATGGAGAGTACTTTGAAGGTGATAAGGTGCTTTTGTTAAAAAAAAAAAATTAAATGCATAGCTTTGGGGGGGAAATCAGTTGTTTTGGGGTATACCTAGTGTGTGTAGTTTAAGCACATGCACGCACACACACGTAGTGTGACTAGAAACCAGTTCAGAGAGGACCACTGAATTACTTTTTGATACATGCAATAGGAAATTAATTTAAATATCCCACTGCATATAAAATGTCTTACATAATTTCTTAACGGTAAAATGCATCATACTTTAAAACGTTAAGGTTGTTGTTGACAACTGACCTCATGAGCCAATATTCAGATTGTGTGCCATTTTACTTAACAGCTCTTACAGTAGGTATTATTTATACACACCATTTATTTTTCTTAAGTCTTTTTCTCTCCTCTCCTATTTTAGAAAACCATTGGGGCCCTCTGAAGAATCATCTTTTATGCTTGCAATTTTCTGAAGGCCAGGGATAGGAAAATAGTGATGGAGTTGACCAGCTAAGAAATATTTGAGTTAAACTGTATGGTGTGGAATGGGCACATAGTATATGCATTTTATTAAATAGAGGCAATGAGGAAATGTTTCCCATCTCATTACTAAGCTGTTTCCCATCATATGAGAATAAGTTCAGCATTACTGCTAGAGCTTTCCATTAAAATAAAATATGAATGTGAAATTGTTCTTTCTTGATACAGCCCCAGTTGGGTTGTCTGAAGGTGGTGTTTCTGCACACCGGCACAGGAGTGTCCCTCCGGAGACATAGGGTCTTGACAATCCAGCCTTTCACTCTTCCCGTCTTCAACCAGTAGTCTTGGTGATTTCCTATGCTTTCTCTATAATTTATTTGCATGTTTTCTTGTTCTTCTGAAGGCAGAGAGAAGTGTTTCTATCTTGACACTTTAACATTGTGTGCTAACACTTTCTGAATTAAACAAATGGTTCTGCTGTCTTAATTCAGTGCTGTTCAATGTTAGCAACACATGAGAAGCCTGTGGTTATAGTTCTAGTTTTTAACCTAAAGAGCCGTAGTCCCTGCCCTTTGATTCATGGGATTCAAATCTCACAATGGGAAGCAGTCAAATGAGTAATTTTGATGAGCAACTAGGAATAAGAACTACTCTAAATATGCTCTATATATGACAGAAAAGTAATGGCTTGATGTCACCAAAAATATTTTAATAGAAAATGCAATCGCTTCATCTTAAAAGCTCTTTAGGGCACTGGCATTTATGTTACTTTGGGGTTCATTTTGCTGTCATTTAGTGCAACAAGAGCCCCTAAACAACCTTAAACAACTTGTTCCCAGGCTTCTCAGTTTAAGAGTTCTGAAATGACTTCTGGTTGACATTTCCCAACAAGATAATAGACAATGAGTGAAAAACCTTCTTTTAACAAGCTCCCCCTCCCCACAAACAAGAGATATATTTGTATTTATTCAACCAAACTATAATACATGACCAGCCATAGCTGCGAGGAAGAAATGGAAGTGGTGTTTTTATGTTTATCGCATAAAGTAGGAGAAAGATCAGAGGCTCTGTGAATTGCTTCTTTTATACTCTCCTACAAGCTTCCTTGTTGCAAATGGACCACTATTTGTCTGTAGTTTTCCATTAGTGTGCCAACTTACTCTTCCCAAGATTTAATTTAGAAAATCAGAGCACATTTAGTCTAAATCTGATAATATAGGTGACTTATCTATGTGGAGTCACGGATTAACTATTTTTTTAAAAAAAATAATCTTATTTATTTGATATATTCCCAGAATCCTGAGAAGGTAAGAGATTGTAAACTTCCAAGTGTTTTTTTTAACAATGTTATTGGTACTTCATTCACATATAATGTAATTCAATATTTCAGTCATATCAAGAAGAGTTGTACAATCATTACCACAATTAATTTTGGAACAATTTCTTCTTCCTTTCAATCATTGTTATTTGTGTAAGTTTTTTCAATTGTAGCAAAAGTGTACACAACAAACATTCTCCAGTTCTGCAATTTTTGCATGTATAATCCAATGTCATTGATTATACTCTTCATGCTGTACAACCATTATTGAGATCCTTTCCAAAATTTTCCACTACAATTAAAATAAACTCAATGCCCCTTAAGTAGAAACTCTTCCTCCATCTCCATGGTAACCATAGGTTAAGTTTTGTTTCTTTTCTTCTTCTTTTTTTTTTTAGATTTCTTGATACAATATTCACATTTATACACTTCCATTATTAAATCACTTTTTAAAAGAGTTGTATTACGTCATCACAATCAGTTCTAATGCCCCCCTACATTGATTGCTTCCTTATTCCTAGATTATTCTTCATGTTTCCAACTTTCACATTTGAATCAGCAGCAATTTTCAATGCATCTTGACTGCAGGTTTGATCAATATCAATCTATAGCAGTTGGTAAAAAGGTTTACCTTTAGATCTTAGTTGTTGGGCTGTAAATTTAAATTATATTCCTATTATTAAAAAGACATACATTTTCTGAATATAGTTTATTTGCATGTTTTTAACTTTTTTTAGATCATTTTATTGGTGGCTCTTACAATCCATACATCAATTGTATCTGACATATTAGTACATATATTCCATCATTCTTTTCTAGACATTTACTTTCCATTGATCCCTTGGGATCAGCTCCTCGCCCCCCCCCCCCAACCCTCGTGGCCCCTTGATAGATTATAGGTTGTTAATTATTTTCAAATCTTACACTGACCGCCGTCTCTCTTGCCCTCTGGTTTCTGTTGTTCTCCCCCCTGGAAGTGCCATTAATTATACCTCTGACCCCTTGAAGCCTCCTCACCCCCCACTATCATGGCCCCAGTACCACTTCCCACTCTGGACTAGACGGGAGCATGTACATAGGTATAGGCAAGAGATAAAACTCACAACACATGGAACCCACCGCAGGAATGGGAAAAGAGATACCAAAAGGGCAGAGGGAGGGGGGAGAGATGGGGAGGCAGGGGTACAGATCACAATGAATGGCTCTTCCAAGTGGTTTTCCTGCTGACTTTCTTTCTGCAGCCTCTGGAAGGATTGCAATTTTGGTGAGTTGAGTTGTACACCATGACCACTGTTGGTGAACAAATGCCAATATTCTTACCAAAACTGTGTTAGAGGAACTTCTTTTAAGTATCTAGTAGGAGGAAAGGGGAACGTAATATAATATTGGAATTGAAACCAAATTACATGCCATATATTCTCGAGTATAAGCCACCCGAATATCAGCTGGGGCACCTAATTTTACCATAAAAACTACATTAAAATGTGCTGAAAAACTCGGCTTATACACAAGTATACACGGTACTTCATCGTGTGTTTGTGTGTGTATGTGTGTGTCTTTGTGGCAGTATGTGTTTGAGGAAGTCATGTGACAGGAGAGAAGTAACACGGGGAAACAAAGGAGGAACAATGCGATAGCAGGAGTTTCCGTTTCTTCCTGCAGGTCCCACTAACTGCATTTGCAATGAAAGTATCTCTGCTGATTAGTTTTTCCTATTTAATATGATTGGTAATTATGCCAACATCACAGTGTCATTTTGCTCCCTACCTAGGAAAGTGCTTTGAATATAGTAGAAATCAGTGAACAGGTGAATATAATGCTTACCTTCAATGTGAAAGAAACAGTCATAGTTTATCAATTGCCCAACTGTCGAGTTCAGAATAGCATAGTGTTATTGAAAGTGACTACCTGGAATGAGAGAATAACTCTCAATGTTTTAAAGGAAATCTTATATTGTAAAGATCTACTGGTATATGTAGTGAAATTTACTATGGTTTACTGGAAAATATGAGTGAGGCTTTGAAATTCATTTTTGTTTTAATCCTTTTTCATATTTTTTCTCCAAAATAGGATTTTAAGAGTGGACTTGGTATTACTGTAATTCCTATGAATGTAGCCAATGTAAAACAAGTGGACCGAACTGTGAAACAATCTTTTGAAATAATCACTCCATATAGGAGTTTTAGGTAAGCTATTTAAAACTATTTATGGAAGTATTTATATAGAAAAGCTTCAAGCTTCTATGGATATACCAGTAATGATGATTTTACCCATTATATGATACTTATCTCATATTTCTATATTGTAGTATATGCCAATATATATTCTTAAATCTTATAAATTAGTTATCAAATCATCATACTTGTAAAGACAATTGATTTATGAAATGGGCGTAGTTTCTTAATACCTGTTTTTCTTATACTTGGTGAACAGTAGTTTTTTAATCATCAAATACATGACATATCTCCTCACATTTGGAACAGAGTAAAAAAAATGCATGCCTTTAATCTATATTACTATTTACCACCTTTTAGCCCAAATATAATGTCTTTTAAGATCAATCACTGACTTAACTGCTTTATAGTGGTTTCCTAAAAGAAACTTCAGGCCAAAATGATTCTAAATTTAATGACTCTGATGGTACATACTGATTCAAATATATCTACATTTAATTATATATATTGCATTATTGCCTTCTAGCAATGTCTTCATTATGACAATGAAACTGCAAAGCTAAAGTCCTTAGTAGGTTCTATTAATTTATGACTCCATAACTTTAGTATACAGAAAAGGCATAAGTTAGTATGTATTGAGCAAAGCCAGATTAATTTATTTTCTAAAATCGTCAGCACACAGCAAAGTACTATGCTGGTTAAAGTCCTTTAAAGACTTAATGATTTCTCAGTAATTTCAAAAACGCTATCAAATCTGTTAACTCATTCTATCTGTCAAATTGTATCCACTCACTCTTGCATAAGCTTTATTTTTGCATATGCATATTCTAGCCTCTTAGAAATGGTGGCCCCAAATTCCCTAGGTTCTGTATCTGGGCACGCATTGCATCTGGTCTTTCCCAGAAAATCGGGTGCCAGTGTTATACAATGCCACATCTGTTTTCAGCAAATGTTTAAGCACCGAGTTCTTAAATTCCTGGCATAGAAACCTGGCATCCGATATTTCTAGAAATAGGTTTGTCATTTCAGCAAATTTAGGGTTAAATGCTTTAAAATGGTTTCTGCATAGTAATTGACCTTACATATTTGCTCTTTCTCTTTGTAGATTTAAATTGTAACTTTAATCAGGTTTACTTGCTATGAATTCATATAGATAACCCATTTCAGCATGTCAGCAGATATTTACAATTAATTCTGTCCACATAATTAATACAAAGTTATTGGAGTGAAAATATTCAGCCATTGTAATCAAATGAAAAATCATTTCTTTAAGATGAAATCTGTATTTTAAGTCTCTAAATAAGAGGATTGCTTACTTTGGTTGTATCATAGTGCTTCAATTATATTTCTTAAGAGTGCTATATTAAGTAGGTATTACCTTTTTTTTGTTTATAGAGCTTTGCCTATTACTTCTGCTGAGTGATTTTAAATTAGGAAAAATGTGTGCCAGTGTTCTATTTTTGCACCATACTAACTCAGTCTGTATGCTGAGCAACTAATCTGAGAAGCTGGACTATACGAAGCAGAGTGTAGTATTAGAATTAGAGGACATCTCATTAACATCTGGTGACCTGCACATGACACAATCTAGTTTGCTGAAAGCAAAGAGGATTTACAGCACATAGTGATGAAGATCAGACGACAGCCTTCAGTATGGATTGTATCTCAATGTATAGAAAACAAAATCCACACAACTGGACCAATATTGAATATTACGATAAATGGAGAAGAGATTAGAGTTTCCAAGGATTTAATTTTACTTAGACTCAGTATCGATGCCCATTAAACCCTAGTCAGTAAATCAAAACACTATTTTGTATTGGGAAAACATGCTGCAGATGACATCTTTAAAGTAGCGAAAAACGAAGATACTCTTTTGAAAAGAATATTGAAAACCAATTGCCTCATCCACTTTAAAATAAGCTGAACTGTGAGTAGTGAAAACCGAAGAAGGATTGGTGTATTTGTATAGCACCAGTGTTGAAGAATATTGGATATACTGTGGACTGCCAAACAAACAAATCCTTGTTGGAAGAACTACAGCGATATTGCTCTTTGGAAGTAAGGATGACAAGACTTCATCTCACATACTTTGAACAGATTTTCAGGAGGAACAGCTCCTGGAGAAGAGCATGTTTGGTAAAGGAGAAGATCAGTGGAAACCTTCAAGGAAATGGCTTGACACAGTGGTTGCAAAAGGAGGCTTGAGCACACCAAGGGTGTGAGGATTGGACAGAATCCAGCAGTGTTTTGTACTTTAATACACAGGATCAAAGTTCAGCCAACTTGATAACACCTACCAAGAGCAGATTCTAACCGTTACTCAAAATAGAGATATTGCCTGTGACCAACTCTTCTTTATGGAGAGCTGGAAACCACTAGGAAGCTCATTCATGTAGTAATAATGATGATGACATATGGTGCTTTAGGAAAAATATGATTCATGTAGGCAACTCATTTCTTTTACATGTATTATGTGCTTGCTCTGGTGGTATAGTGATTTATCAGGTGGACTGGTAAACTGAAGGTCAGCAGTTCAAAACTGGCCGCCTCACCATGGGAGAAAGATAAGGTTTTCTACTCCCTTAAAGAATTACCTCAGAGAAAGCAAAAGGAAATAGAGGAAAGAACTAGGAGGCAAAGGACATTTATAGAGGTCTAAATACAGGCATGTACATATGTAAATATATTTATATATAATGGTAAATATATTTATATATAATG